CTGAAGCTAGCTAGCAGCTAGCTAGCAGCTAGCTAGCAGCTAGCTAGCAGCTAGCTACTGTAGGGTGGAGGGGAGAGAATGGGCCTTAGGAAACAAGCAGCAGCATTGTGCTGCTGCTGCTGCTGCTGCAGCTCTGCTGCAGCGCCTGCTGCTGCAGCACGAATCCCGCCTTATATTGGGGGTCAACTGAAATGTACATAGCTAGCTGTAGCTAGCTAGCTGCAGCTATCCATAGCTAGCTACGGCTACACACAGTTAACCCCAGCTAGCTACAGCTAGCTACAGCTAGCCACAGCTAGCTGCAGCTAGCTGCAGCAAGCCACAGCCAGAAATGTTGTAAACCTGATACTATAAGTTTAAGCGGAGGTCACCGCAGCGCCTGCTACCTGCTGCAGCAGCAGCAACGGCTACTGCAGCAGCAGCAGCGGTTACTGCAGCAGCAGCAGCTGCTGCTGCTGCTGCTGAAGGATCAGCCCCAAAGTCTCCGCTGCATGCACTAAGCTCCTAGCAACGAGGTAACTGTGTTTGCTGCTCATTCTGCAGCAGCTGCAGCGCAGCAGCAGCAGCAACAGCAGCAGCAGCAGCAACGCTGCAGTTGCAGCGCTACGGTGAGGTGTCTGTGTTGTGCAGCCCCAGAAGAGACAGTGGGGAGACATCTGTCTCCTTGCAGCAGCAACAGCAGCAACAGCAGCTTTTCTCTGTCTCTATCTGTCTCTGTCTCTGTCTCTGTCTCTCTCTGTCTCTCTCTATGTCTCTGTTTCTTTCTCTATTTCTTTCTCTCTCTCTCTCTGCTCATGCTGTCGCTGCTGCTCTGGCGCCAACAGCGCTCCGCTGCTACACACAGAGAGCCACCCCGCCAGCTAGCTAGCTAGCTAGCTAGCTAGCTAGCTAGCCAGCTAGCTAGCTAGCAAGCTCGCTAGCTAGCTGACTAGGAAAGGAAGGAGGAAGGGGGGTATCTACACGCCCACTGCCTAGCAGCAACTGCTGCTCCTCCTTTCGCTACACAAGCAGCCAGCGCAGCAGCAGCAGCAGCAGCAGCACCCGCTGCTACTGCTGCTGCTATTGCTGCTGCTGCTGCTGCTGCAGCAGCAGCAGCAGCAAGCTATGAATGCTGCAGCACACGCCGCAACGCTGCAGCTCCTCTTAATCTTTGGCTGCCGAGGACGTCAACGATAGTCTCCTGCTGCAGCTCTTGCTGCTGCTGCTCGCACACATACAGCACAAAAAAAGAAAAACCTATTGCTGCTGCTGCTGCTGCTGCTTTTGCTGTTGCTGCTGCTGCTCCTGCTGCTGTTGCTGCCTCTGCTGCCGTTGCTGCTTCTGCCGCTGCTGCTGCTCGTGCTGACATTGCTGCTACTGCTGCTGTTGCTGTTCTTTGTGCCTGCCTGTTACTACTACTGTTGCTGCTGCTGCTGCTGCTGCTGCTGCTGCTGCTGCTGCTGTGTCTTACCCCTGTCTCCGCTATGCGGTAGCAGTCCATCAGCAGCTCGCGCAGCTCCTCCGGGCTGGGGGCCTTCCGGGCCCTCTTGGCTCTGCCCTGCTGCTTCTCATCTGCTGCTGCTGCTGCTGCTGCTGCTGCTGCTGCTGCTGTTGCTGTTGTTGCTGCCGACTGAACGTCTTCCATTAAGTCCCCTGCACCACTGACGCCATCCTCCAGCATCCGCTTCTGCTGTTGCTGCTGCTGCTGCTGTTGCTGCTGTTGCTGCTGCTGCTGCTGCTGTCTGTCCATCTCTGTCTCCGCCAGAAACATCTTTATGCCTTCAGGGAGCGAAGCAGCAGC